ATTTTTACTTTTGAAATAATAAACGAAGAAACACAGAGTTCTTGGCTCCAGTGGCGAGAAATAAAGAAAGGGGCAGGGAGTGCAGGGGAGCCCATCTTTACTGCCCAGCAGCTGTAAATGCTGGCCTAAGAAGTTCCTCCTTTTTCCCTCAGTCCCCCAAAGCCCACCGATGCGTGTTGAGTTTTGTGTCTGTTTCTTTTCACTGCAAAAATTATGTCATGCACATCGTAGAATGTGGAGCCAGAGGCCCTTGTGATCATGTCGGGCCAAGCCCCTCATTTTCCAGGTAATAAAATGGAGCCTCAAGAGTCGTGACTTGGCGGAGGCTCCCAGAAGCCTGGTGCATTTTTATGCTTCAGCGCTCTTGACCTGAGGGGGTGCTGCACTTGCAAGCTAATCGGAGAGTAAAACTGAACTGACCTGTTCCTTAGGAAGGGAAATTTAAGTGGGGCTTTCCTGGCTGGGAAAGGGCTTTCTCAGAAGATGCAGCTACCCACCCACCAGTGTGAAGGAAAATAGCTCCTTAAGGAGACTTAAATAAAAATTTTTTTTGAAGTTTAATCAATCACCTTAGGAGTAGATACCTGGAACCGGAGAAAGCAAGGGAGAGAACACCTACTAGCAGTTCCCAGCCGGCCCAGGACTTATTTTCTCCTCTGTGCCGTTGGCCAGATAGCCAGGCCTCCTCGGGGAAGGAGAGAACAGGACTGAGACCCTGGCTTCAGGAGTGAAATGTGCTCGGAGCTTTTGGGGGAAAAGGAGCAGGCAGCCTGAGATAGGATGAGTATGTGGAGGCCAGGGAGTATTTCTTCATTTGTGATTTTAAACTTTGTGGGTAAGTTTAACTGTTACATTAATAGTATAATATTAGGTCACTTTACAGCAATACTAAACACCAGCCTCTAATAAAATTAACATTATCTCAGGGAAAGCCTCCTTTTTGGTCACCTGTTTACTTTTACTAAATTTGAAATGACAGTGCCAGGTTTTCAGTCAGCCTTTGTTATAATCACTGACATACAGTTGATTTGATTATCAGGAAGGTTCTGATTAAATGCTCCTTTCAGCAGCACTTTAAGATTTAAAAGCACAGCTAGAAACACAGTAGGTCCATTTCTATCTACATTGGCATTTCCAGTGATTTAAATAAAAGGGAAGAGATTGAACAAGGAAGTAACCAAAATAGATGAAACTAGGTTAACTTGGGTTTGGTAGGGAATGTAGGGTAGGGCATGGGGAAAATTCTTGCTTTGCAACTGGAAAAATCTGATGTTATATTAAAAAAAATTCAGAGTATTTTAGAAGTACCTTTGTTTTCTCAGTTTTTGGTTTTCATTTGCTTCATGTAATCATAGTTACTATAAATATAGAATCAGAAGAACTTGTTTTTATTTTTATATGCATAAAATGTGACTTAGAAGGGGCTTCTCATTATTATGATAGAAAATGTTACTGTGTATTTCTCTTTCAAATAGTAGTTGGCATTGACAGATGTTTGTATATTTTCTCTGAATACCCTTTGGGTCCTGAATTACCAGTAAAAATAGAGTGGCGTAATGTGTTCTTGGCTATTTAGTGTCAGAGATCTTATCTAGTTTTTATAAACAGCATCTTAGCCTGCAGACAACAATATCATTATTAGTTTGGAAATGAGCATAGTCATATTTACCATCACCACATTCAACCTTGTAATTACAACCTGGAAATTAAGCTAAACAATTCGTAGGATTTTCTGCACATCTGACATTTGATGCTGAGAGACATGTAAATGTTGGTGGCTCACTTTGGAGTGACCTTGACCTGGAAGCTGTCACTGTGTCCATTAGAGGACACTGACATACAGACGAATCATCTACCACATCCTCTGAACAGAAGGAAGGCGGGGTTGTCCTCCCAGCTCTGCTTTCTGCCCTGAACCAGGTAGGCTGCCAGGAAGGATCAGCTTTTGCCCTTTTCCCCAAGTCTGACAGCAAAGCAGCAAATCGTATGCGGGCCTTGTTCCTAGGCTCGAGGTCACAAGGCACAGAGATGACAGCTGCTGCCACGGCTGAGGTCTGGGGGCAGCTGGCTGGATAATGTTGATGAAGCCCCCTGGTTTGCAAATATATGTATGTTTTAAATGGAGAGAATCCACAAGCATGCCTAAGAAGTGCTCCTTGGACCAGTCTACTGATTCAGGATTCCTTGGCAATCCAGGAAATGTTCTCCAACTTGTAAAAGACATTAAAGCCCATGAGGGAGTTTGGTTTTGAAGGTGAGCTGGATTTCATAATTGTCTGCTACTTTTTTAATGAAGCTCTTGGAATTTGTACATTCTTCTTTGAGTTGCTTTCTTATTTGTTGGAAATATAATTTGACCTGGTGTTTACAATTTTGTCTAAAGGAACCACTGATGAAAATAAAATGCCCATGATAACCCTGAGCGGTTGGTTTATAATAGCGTTCATTTCCAACTTATGCTTCCTGAAACACTTTACTTAGGCTTAAAAAACAAAATATAATTATTTTAAAAATAATACTGCATTTTGCTTTCCCAGCCCTTTCTACCAAGAATAATGTTTACCTTTTACTTTTTGAAATTGTGCCTTATTTAAGGCCTGTATTGAGCTACCAATAATAATCAGGTTTGCTGCTTACCCACGGCTGCTTTTTTTTTTTTTTTACAATTGATACAAAATATACTATAATTACAATGAAAAATGGCTCTCAGTCCTTCATGCAGATCTGATGGACATGTGGACTAAGGAATAGGTGTTACTTATATAGCTCTAAATTCTTTTCAGTCTTAAAGTATTTTATCCTTGTATTCTGCATGCTGTTGGCCTCCTGCCCAGAGGCACATTCCATTGACTGTATCCTTTCTTTGAGGTTGAGATGTCTTGAAGTTGTCATTGGACATTAATTCAGGAGTGAATTTTAAAATATGTTTTAAAATGTGTACTAAGAGCCTGTGGTTGGCCTTGAAGTCAGGCAGTGAGTGTAGCACCACCTTCTGATGGTCATACTAATACTAAAGGTGTTTCTCTCTCTCTCTGGAAAGAAAAGGAATGTACTAAGCACAGTAGTTAAAAAGCAATGGAAAAGGGGGGGACATCTGTAATACTTTCAACAATAAAAATAAAACTGAAAAAAAGCAGTGGAATCTTTTTAGCTGTGCTACCAAAGCACTCACAATTGGGTGAAAGCCCGCCTTGGGTTGTGGTTTATTGGTGGACACACACACACACACACACACACACACACACACACACACGTGCTGTGTATTTGCTTCTCTGATATTAAGGTGTTTAACCTAGATATCACTGAACACTTGCAACCCCGCCTGGTTATCACCACTGAACAGGTAAGGAGGCCGCAGCTCAGAAACTATAAGGAACTTTCCCAAGAGCACACAGCTAGACCCTGTGTTTGTGGACAGGGGGGCTGGAAATGAAGGGAGCGGGGAAGGAGAGAGCTTTCAGGAGGACTGGGGGACTGAGTTGATAAGACAGAATACAAATGGTTCCAGTAAGACTTACTCTGATGGTGTGACCCCAGGTGACTGGTGAGTGGTGGTGTTGACAGAAAGTTTCAGAAGTGAACTATAGTGGAAGGTAAATGTGTAGCTCTGGCCTGAGCACCCACTGCAAGGCGTGGCCTCCATGCCCACTCCACCCTCCCACATGCACATACTTCTGCTCTCAGCTTCTGCTGATTCACCAAGGGTCTTTACAGAGGCCCACCAGAGATTGATTCTGCTTCGCAAGCCATTCTGTTTACTGCAAATGTTGCTAAACCCTGTGCGGGAAGGACCCCCCATGAGACCCTTGGCTTCGGAAGGTCACTGGTTTGGAGCAATGGAGAACAAGGCCCGTTGGCCCTGGACAGGGGGCTCTGGCCCTTATTGCCTCTTCTCTTCTAGATACCTGTCAGCACAGCTGGCTTCTATAGTGCAGGTTACAAAGGGCAAGGGATCCCCTTTGTAGCAATGAACCGTACATCAAGGCCCCTTCTATTTCCCCTTTAGTGGGGTGCTATGGCTGGTCTGCTTCCAGGGTGCCCTCTGGACCACCGTCCTAGCTGTGCCTGCCCAGCTGGTTCTTCAGTCCCAAGTCATTTCGATCCATATGCATAGTTACCATTTTCACTTACATACAAGTTCAAGGCTGCCTTTAGTACTTGAGCAGCATATTAACAACTGTATTTAAATAATATCTTTTAGCTAGTGTTTTTAGTTTTTAGCCAAAGACAGCACTGACTAAGATTTTTGCTAGTTACTTCCCCTCCATCAGAAAGTGACAATATGTATATTTGATGTCATGTAGTGTATTAGTTATTGTGAGCCTTCTCTCCAGTCCAGGAGCCAATGAACTACTCAGTCCCCACTGTGAGCTAAAAGCATCGGGGCACATGCTTTACTTTCACTCTTTCTCTGTAGTGAGTGGATTCAACAGGAACTTAAGTAATTAAATCCATTGGATGTTTAGCTTTCACAACAGCTTAGTTTATAGAATAAATTATTCTCAAAGACCAGGACAGAGGCATTTAAGTGTTTTGTTTTCTTAGGTTTTACTGATATGTTTCAAGTCCTCTAAAGAACAGACAGGAAAACATCGACTTTGTAGTTGAACTTGAATTGCCTGAGTTGTGTAGCTTTGAGCCTCATAAAAAGGTTAAACTGGTCCTGTGTGACTTGATAACTACTATCATATACTGTCAGTGTTGGTGGCTTGATCATGCATAAAATGAGGTGAGGTTTAAATTAGTTATCATTGCATGTAACATTTATACATAGATTTACACGCTTAAAGTAAGAGCTGATTAAAACTGTGGTGGAAAGCTGATAGAAAATGTAATTTTCACCAGTGTTAGATTAGTATACAAATGCTTTCTTTTTTTCTCTCTTTTGCTTTTATTTTTTAATAGAGTTTTGACAACAACATATATGTTCAGTAGATAGCCCTAAACCGTGAACAAGGCAGGGCATTGTTTTTATGTCATATGACTTGTTTTCTTTGCAGGTGCTGGATTGGATTGAGAACCATGGGGAAGCATTTCTGAGCAAACACACAGGTGTGGGGAAGTCTCTTCATCGCGCCAGAGCTTTGCAGAAACGGCATGAAGATTTTGAAGAAGTAGCACAGGTAAAGCATGGCTTTCATTGTTTCCTCCCATATGTACCTGTGTGCTTGGTTTTCAATCACTGTTTTAGCCACATCTGAGGTGAGCTGGCCTTGGCTACATGTGTTTGAAGGTGACTCAGAGGAGGTGATGCTCAGATTTCAGAGTGAACCTGACATTGCAGAGGCAAAAAGATGATTTGGTCAGTTGACCTTTTTGAAAGATGTGATATTCTTGAAACAGAAAAACATCTTGGATGTTTGTGCCATGTTTATTGTTCCAGTGTCTGTTGACTAGTTTGTGAAATTTCAGTTCATAACCAGAGAATAACAGTCCTTGCAGTTCTCTAATGTTGGGCTGGCTTTTCTTGCCCTTTTCCCAGTTCTTTTAAATGTGTGTGCTTAGGAAACAGGAAGCAGAGGCTATGGTGTGTTCAGACGTGGGATTTGTGCAACTCGAGAGTTGGCCATAACGCTGACTAGCCGTGTGACTTTGGAAGAGTCTCTCAGTGTTTCTCAGGTTAACTTTCTTATCTGAAGAGTAAGGTCCTAGAGAGGAAGTAAATGTGAGAAGAAAGGACCGGGGTCAATAATGAGCACAGATATTGGTAAATATGTCTGTAAATCTCAACCATTGACCATTTAAACAAAAGACAGTGAATTTGATGGGTGGTTACCAATCAGATGGAGCTAAAGCACCAGACCAGTTCTACAACAGGAGGTGGAAAGGTGCTCTGAGGTCGGCAGGAGGTGTGGTTTCTCCTAGGTTTGCAAAATGAGGGGTGTGTGAGCATTTTCAAGTGACCACTATCACTTCTAAGTAAGTATAAAGGGAAAAGAAACATAGAAAATTGGATAACTAAAAACTCACTAGATGGATCTAGTGGAAGGAAAAGAAATGAGAACAACAAAAATCATGATAGAAATTACAAAATAAGATGTAGTAATTTGTCCATAAGTATCAGTAATTACAGTAAACACAAAATAGATTATAGTTGTTAAAAAAAATAAAGATTTATCTGATTGAACACCTTTTAAAAGGACTCACCTAAAACATTAATACCCAGGAAGTCTGAAAATATATAAAGTATTAGAAAAAGATCTACCAGGCAAATATAGCAAACAAACAAATAAAAAACTAGTATAGGAATAGTAATATTAAATCAACTTAAAAGCATGAAAACATTAGAAATAGAGTGTTCAGTTATAAGGGGAGAGTGTCAGTATACATCTGATGCTGTGGTCTCAAAATCTATAAAGCAGAAGTAAAGGCAGTAAACCCTGGCTGCTGTGTCGGCAGGTTCTGCCTGACCGAGGGCCAGTCACATCCCTGGTTACTCGGGAGCTGACTGGCTGGAACTATGGGATAACTAAACAAACTGCGCATAGGCCCTGTTCGGTGAGAATGCCTTCAAAACGTTACCTTCCTTCCACGTCTCCGTATGTGGAGTGAAAATGAGAATCCCAACCTTCCTGCTCCTGAGTCCCAGGAAACAGTAAGAGGTGATCGTGTCCAGCAGCCTCACCACAGGTGGATGCGGCTGGGTTTTCTTATCTACATTACACGTGGTCTCCCTTCTTACACTCGCTGGAAAATATTTGCCTTCCTCTTATAGCAAATATGTGGAAAATGTGCTTTTATCTCCCCATTATTTTCCTCATAAGATAAGCTACTGCTGTAGCCAATGTAGCTTAAGGAAGGATGTGAAATTTGGGATTCTATGAGCAGAGACGTCAGGCACCGAAAAACCTAAGAGGCGAGGCTGTCAACAACCCCGCTCTGGAGATGGAGGCTCCTGCCCCACAAAGCACACTCACCCAGCCTAGCCTCACTTCCTCGGTGCTCTCAGATATGGAGGATGCGGGTCCACTGAACATCCTCATGTCTGTCCAGCACCCAGCGACCCCCCTCCCTCCAATTCCTGTGCTTCCTTCCATTCTAAATTAGAGAAATTTCTGTGGCTAATCCTGCCCTATGTTTTCCTGGTAAACTTATTTCATGAGGTCTAAGACGATCATCGAAGCTGTCAACCCAGGTTCTCATGGGGACAGCAAGAGTGAGACGAATTTTTTGGTAGGAAACGTCTCTGCCTTAAGGTTTCTAGGGCAAGCCAAGGGCAGCGCCCTGAGCCATGGTCTGCTTCTTACCACTGGTTCAGAGAAAGGCAGGAGCTCACCTCCTCCCTCCGCCCATCCTGAGTTTCAGTTTTTTCCTATCATCTGCTCATTGCCCCTGCGATTCCAAGGGTACCTGGCACACTTTTCCTTAAATTGAAAGGGCTTAAGGCTAAATCTGAGCTGTGCATAAGCCTTAAATGTAAACACCTTTTGCTGATTTGCAAACATCTGTGCCCACTTTCTCCCCCTCTGGCTTTCAAATAATCACCGGTCATGTGTCAGGCATTCTGCCAGACACGGGGGGATAGAGGGGACAAGGGGTGGGTAGACAGGCAGACCCAGACTTCCTCAGTAGGCATGGCCACCTGTCAGAGGGCTTTCCTTGGCAGTTATTGCTGGCTAAGCCAACCCACAAATTAGTAAAATTCAGTTTGGTGACAAAGAAGAGGATGTGAGAGGCAGGCATGGGAGACAACAGGTGGGTTTGTTGGGCAACATGACCGTGTGGCCTTAAAGGCTGGAGTGTGGGCTCTGGGGAGCTGTGTGCAGGCAACCAGCCTCCTCTCTGTGGGCCTCTCTCCTTTGCAGACCCACCATGGGGTGCAGGCTCCTAGCTCTCCACCTCACACCTGACCGTATCTGTATTTTCTGTTTTTCACATCTCAGTGTTCCCTCTCTGTCCGCACTTTCCTTCCCACTGTACTGCCAGGATCTAAGCGCTTCAGTCTGTCCTCCTTTTCCCACAATCTTCGACTTCTCCCACTCTTAGTTCTATTCTTTTTGGTACCAAATATTTACAGACCGTCTCCTCTCTTGAAGAACATCACTTGATACTACTCTATTTTTTTAAGATTCCCAGCTGGTTTCAAAAGAGTGCTCTTCTACCTTTCTCTGTCTGCTTATTGCCCACTGTCACTGGCAGTCTGGCACACAGTGGGCACGCAGTGATTGCCATTGCTCATTGTAGATATTCAAAAGTCTATCACAGTCAAGGTTAAAGACAGAGAGAGAATCTTAAAGGCAGCAAGAGAGGGACAGTGCCTACAAGGGAGCTTCATAAGGCTCAGCAGATTTCTCACCAGAAACACTTCAGGCCAGAGGGGACTGGCATAAAGTATTTGAGGTAATGAAAAGCAAGAACCTGCAACCAAGACTGCTCTATGCATCAAGGCTATCATTTAAAATCGAAGGCGAAATAAAGAGCTTCCCAGACAAAAGAAGGCTGAAGGCGTTCAGTACCACGAAACCAGCGTTGCAAGAAATGCTAGAGAGACTACTTTTAGAAGAAGAAGAAACAGAGGGAGAAACATAGGCATAAAGAAAAAAATGACAATAAATACCTATCAACAATAACCTCAAATGTAAGTGGATTAAATGCTCCAATCAAAATACATAGGGTAGCTGAATGGATGAGAAAACATGACCAATATATATGCTGTCTACAGGAGACCCACCTCAGAACAAAAGATTCACATAGGCTGAAAGTGAAGGGATGGAAAAAAAGATTCCATGCAAATGGAAATGAAAAAAAAAGTTGGGGTAGCAATATTTATTTCTGACAAAATAGACTTCAAAACAAAAGCCATAAAAGAGACAAAGAAGGTCACTACATAATATTAAAGGGATCAATCCAACAAGAGGATATAACTCTGGTAAACATATAGGCACCCAATATTGGAACACCTAAATATATATATAAAAAAACAACCACCACAAAAACTCTCTTGGTGGACTTTAGGGAGAGATTGACAGCGACACAGTCATAGTACAGGAATTTAACACCCCAATGTCATCAATGGATAGATCTTACAGATTAAAAAAATCAGTGAGGAAATAGTGACCCTAAACAAGACACGTGTTCTAATGGATTTAATTGACATTTACAGAACATTTCATCCCAAAGCAGCAAAACATGCATTCTTCTCAAGTGCACATCGGATATTCTCAAAGATAGGCCACGTGTTAAGACACAAAATAAGTCTTAACAAATTCAAAAAGATTGAAATCATATCAAGTATTTTCTCAGATCACATTGGCATCAAGGTAGAAATCAACCACAATAAAAAAACTCAAAAAACATTCAAATGCAATGAGGCTAATTAGCATGTTATTAAACAATGAATGGGTTACCTATGAGCTCAAGGAAAAAATAAAAAATTACCTGGAAACAAATGAAAATGAACACACAACAGCCCCAAATCTATGGGACACAATGAAAGCAGCCCTGAGAGGGAAGTTCCTAGCATTATAGGCCTACCTCAAGAAACAAGAAAAAGCTCAAGTAAACAATCTAACCCTACACCTAAAAGAATTAGAGAAAGAACAACAGAAAAAGCCCAGAGTAAGTAGAAGAAAGGGAATAATAAAGATCAGAGCAGAAATAAATGACACAGAAAAAAAATCAATAAAAATCAGTGAAACCAAAAGCTGGTTCTTCCAAAAGTTAAACAAGACTGATAGATAAACCTTTAACCAGACTTATCAAGAAATAAAGAGAGCCTGGCTGGGCGTGGCTCAGCGGTTGAGCATTGACCTAGGATCCAGGAGAGTGCTATTCGATTCCCAGTCAGGGCACATACTTGGGTTGCGGGCTCGATCCCCATTTGGGGGCGTGCAGGAGGCAGCCGATCAATGACTCTCTCATCACTGATGTTTCTCTCTCTCCCCCTCTCCCTTCCTCTCTCTGAAATCAATAAAGATATATATTTTAAAAAAAACAAAAAACAGAGAATCTAAATAAATAAAGTCAGAAGTGAAAGAAGTAACAAATGACATCACAGAAATACAAAGGATTTATTAGGAACAAGTATATGCCAACAAATGGGACAACTTGGGCGAAATGGACAAATTCCTAGAAAAATGCATTCTTCTAACACTCTATCAGGAAGAATCAGAAAACCTGAATA